TTTTTTTTTTTCCCCCTCCCCAAAGCTCCAGTACATAGTTGTATATTCTAGTTGTAAATCTTTCTAGTTCTTCTATATGAGCTGCCACCACAGCATGGCTACTGACAGACAAGTGGTTTGGTTCCGTGCCCGGGAACCGAACCAGGCCACGGAAGCGGAGTGTGCCAAATTTTAACCACTAGTCCATCAGGGCTGGCTCCGTAAATACTATTTTTTGATCAACTAATATGCGATACCTTATAATTATTGATGTTCTGATGTTTACAAATCACATATACATTCATCATCTCACCTACAGGGTACATTGGAATGGTATCCTAACTCTCATTTCTCAAACTAGAAAATTAAGGCTTAAAGAGGCTACGTAAGTTGTTAGTTACCTAAGGTTTTATAAATAGAATAAAGTCACAGACACTTAGAGTTGAGGAGACATCAGAGATTTTCACCCATAAGTCTTTCATTTGTAGATGAGGAACTGAGGTCCGTGGAGAAAAAGTCAATTACAAACAATCATACTGATAATGACAGAAGAGAATTCAAACATTCTGATTACTCAGTAACTCAGCGAGTATGGTGGCCTTTCCCTTCTACACTTACGATTCCATGGGAGTGAGAGCAAAACACAAGCAGAAGGTGAAAAAGAAATATTATCAATTGGTAACTTATAGTTCAGAAACTAAAATAGAAAATGTGTCCTATCAATGACAATTGATATTCTCCAATTTCATACTTATTGCTTAATTTTCTAGAAACAAGTGATTTTCCCAGGTAGGATGAATGTTGCCAAGCAATCTCTTAATTTCCAAGAAGTTAATTTACGTGAAAAAAATGCAGAGCAATTTGTATACCATGCAAACTGCTTTTAATTTTGCCCTTGGTAGAATCATGGGATGCAGGTTTTAAGTTTACTTTTTCAACTTCTCAAAGGTCTTTGGGTTAAGTCCCCAACTGAACTAGTGAAGTTAATCAACACACGACTTTCAATTAAAACAAAAATAAGGGGTTTACCTCAGATTAAATAATTATCGGTAACAGGAGATCCTCCCAAACAGTAAGATGGCAAATTGGCAAGGAAAATTCAAATCCCATTTCTGTTAACTCTTAAACTAGGATATGTTATTAATAAATATCTCTCTAATGTGGAGTATATTTTCACATGGCTGTTTTGATGTAGCCCCTTTCACTCACTATTTTGAAAGCTCTTTCATATATAGCATTTCTACACAGCTAAACAAGTTCTTTTTTAAAAAAAATGCTAACTACAATGTGAAACTGACTGCTATACGCTATCCCTGAATCAGATCCTTCAACGATTCCCAACTTGTACCCCAGTCTCAGCCCATCAAATCAAATTTAAAAAATGCTCATGGCATGTTCCACGTGCTGTAGATGAGAGCAGGAGCCTCATAAAGCTTACATTCCTGTCATGGGAGAATGGCATGAAGCAAGAAATTTTATTTGTGAAGACTGTTAAAAGGACATTTCGGTTACTGTACTGGCCTGTTGAGAGGTTATCTGATATCCCTGATCCTCACCCCATCCCTGACCTTCTTCCCACCACTCCTAAGCCTCAGAGATGGTGTGGGGATGCCTCTGAGTACATACTTGGTAATTTAAAAACCTAGACACTTGATCCTTTTGGACATTGTAAAATCGGTCTGAATATGAAAACATTCCTGGCATCCAAACCGTTTTACTAAAATATCATGTAAATATTTTCCCAATTTTCTCATTTCGAAGACCTCCAAAACAAAAGACTTACGTTATGAATTTATTATAAAGAACAAAGGCGTTTTCCAAGTTCCCTTCTTGCAAATACACAGAGGCCATCCTCTCCATCTCCACTCCGGATCTAAAGTAGCGGCGCGGAGTGATATCTTCACTGACGGCGATGTTACAGCCCAGCTTGCTCAGCGCCCGGACTCGCTCTTCCGGGCTGAGGGAAACATCGGTATGGTCAGGCATAGCCGCTAACTTTTTCTGCGAAGTAAAATGTGAATCTCTGTTTATAATAAGAAATGAATATGACTGAAATTATGAATGTATTTTCTGTACTAAATACCTGATACCAATACCTAAGGACAGCTTTTCACAAAAATTAATGATATGGAAAAAGTGAAGTCTTTTTTGCTTAAACATGTGATCTGTACGCCGAAGAGACGCAAATCTCTCAGGGTAAACATACATTTTGATTGGAGTAAGATCTCTTTTGGGTTTCACGATACAATTACGTGGCAGTTCCCGCGTATGCAAATACTGTAGGTCACTTTAGGTAAAACATCATTGACCCTTATGTCCTCGCGGATGTTTCCATCCTGAGCGATGTGAAGCTGACCAAGAGAAGGATTACTGCTAGGGGAGGGCTCATGTCGTTCTACTCTGCACGGTCTCCAAGAGATAGCTTGGATTCAACGTTACTATAAGGATTCAGTTCTATTCCAGATCATATCTAGTTTAATAAGAAGCTTTCAAGGCCTCCCTGCATTTTCAGCAAGTGAATAAAACTCTACCAATTAGTCCTGGAGAAGCCTTTTCAAGTATACGGACACCTTCCCCCCACCTCCCCTTTTTTTTGTAACATAAAACACTCTTAGACCTCCACATAATAAAAACTACACTGTTAATTAGTCCTTGACTGAAAAAATGATAATAATTACTAAGAAAAAGTCAGTGATATTAATTAATACGTTTCTATTTTATTAATAAAAACAGCGTCTGTACACATTTGGAAAAACACAGAACATATACATTCAGGATAATTATTCAATTATTCAATAAAAAGTCAGTGCTTCAAAAAGGCAAAAAGGGCAACAGATTTTTTTTTCTGTTGAAGGCCATATAGCAAATATTTTAGGCTTTGTGGGCCATACAGTCTTGGTTGCAGCTATTCACCTCTGCTGGCGTGAAAGCATCCATAAACAATATGTAAACAAATGATCCTCCCTGTGTTCCAAAAATTTTTATTTACAAAATCAAGCAGTTGAATTTGGCCCTCAGACCATAGTTTGCTGACTCTTGGTTTAGACCAGTGCTTCTCAAAGTGTGGTCCCTGGACCAGTGGCATCAGCATCAACTGAGGATCTCTTAAAAATACAAATTCCTAACAGTCCCCACCTCAGATCTACAGACCAGAATCTCTGTGGGTGGGCTTGGAGTTTTAACTAGTTTCTCAGAGGCACTTATGCATGTTATAGTTTGAGGAGCACTGCTTGTTTTTTGTTTGTTTTTTCTTTTTTGGCGAGGAAGATCAGCCCTGAGCTAACATCTGATGCCAGTCCTCCTCTTTTTTGCTGAGGAAAATTGGCCCTGGGCTAACATCCATGCCCATCATCCTCTACTTTATATGGGACGCGGCCACAGCATGGCTTGACAAGTGGTGCGTCAGTGCGTGCCCAGGATCTGAACCTGCGAACCCCGGGCTGCCGAAGCAGAGCATGAGCACTTAACTGCTGTGCCACTGGGCCAGCCCTGAGGAGCACTGCTTTAGACCACTCTACCATCCTCTCATGCTCCAAGAATGGTGCTAGCCCAGAGCAAATTTAGCCTCCCAAGTCACCCTCAGTCAGTGAGGGTAGACTGCAAGGCTGACTACAATGTGGGTGGAGCATTTGATTAAGGTCTGTAGAAAGTTAAAAAAGAAATCAAGGTAGACACAGTTTTAGTCTGGCCATGAATTACTGAACCAACCTTCAGGGGCAGAGTGCAGTGAATTAGATATCTGCAGTTTTTCCAATGCCATCCGGTCTACTTTGGTAGCAATTTTATAGTAGATAGAACCGTAGAGACCTGGCATAATTCTTGCTTCTTAAGATTTAATATATAACCAGAGAGCCATAAACATGTTTCTCAAGGCCCCACTGAGTCAGAAGCAGGCCACGCCTCTTGCACCTTCTACTACCCTTTTGACCTGGCCTACAGCAATTGGGTGAGTCCTCCTCCCTCTTTCTTTCTCCCCAGGGAAGCTCTAAGCTCCAGGATTCTTCACCTTGAAGGTCTCCAGCTATCCCTCCTGTGACTGGGTGGGTAAGCCAATTCAATTTGGAGCAGAAGGGATAAGAAGATTTATCAATCTCGCACGTTCTCCAGGTCCAAGTTATGAGGTATAAAGGGTATACTTCATTTTGTTTTATTGAGGTAACATTGGTTTATAACATTATATGAATTTCTGGTGTACATCATTACATGTCAATTTCTGTGTAGATTACATCATGTTTACCACCCAAAGACTAATTACAATCCATCACCATACACATGTGCCCAGTCACCCCTTTCATCCTCCTCGCTCCCACCTTCCCCTCTGCTAATCACCAATCTAATCTCCGTATCTAAGTGTTTGTTTGTTGTTATTGCTGTTGTTGTTATCTTCTATTTATGAGTGAGATCATATGGTATTTGACTTTCTCCCTCTGACTTGTTTCTCTTAGCATGATACCCTCAAGTCCATCCATGTTGTCACAAATGGCAAGATTGCATCTTTTTTTATGGCTGAGTAGTATTCCATTGTGTGTATGTACCACATCTTCTTTACCCATTTGTCCTTTGATGGGCACTTAGGTTGTTTCCAAGTCTTTGCTATTGTGAATAATGCCACAATGAACATAAGGGTGCATACGTTTTTACATAGTCGTGTTTTCATGTTTTTTGGATAAATACCCAGCAGTGGAATAGCTGGATCGTATGGTAGTTTTATTCTTTATTTTTTAAGAAATCTCCATACTGTTTTCCATAGTGGCTGCACAAGTTTGCATTCCCACCAGTGGTGTATGAGAGTTCCCTTCTCTCCACATCCTCTCCAACACTTGTTGTTTCTTGTCTTGTTAATTATAGCCATTCTGATGGGCATGAGTTGATATCTCATTGTAGTTTTGATTTGCATTTCCCTGATAGTTAATGACGTTGAATATCTTTTCATGTGCCTGTTGGCCATCTGTATATCTTCTTTGGAAAAATGTCTGTTCACATCTTTTGCCCATTTTTTAATTGGGTTGTTTGCTTTTTGTTGTTCAGATGTATGAGTTCTTCATATATTTTGGATATTAACCCCTTATCAGATATATGGTTTGCAAATATCTTTTCCCAATTGTTAGGTTGCCTTTTCATTTTGTTGATGGTTTCCTTTGCTGTGCAGAAGATTTTAGTTTGATGTAGCCCCATTTGTTTATTTTTTCTATTGTTTCCTTTGCCTGGGCAGACATGGTATTTGAAAATACGCTGCTAAGACAGATGTAGAAGAGTGTACTGCCTGTGTTTTCTTCTAGAAGTTTTATGATTTCATGTCTTACATTCAAATCTTTAATCAATTTTGAGATAGTTTTTGTGTATGGTGTAAGATAATGGTCTACTTTCATTCTTTTGCATGTGGCTGTCCAGTTTTCCCAACACCATTTATTGAAGAGACTTTCCTCTCTCCATTGTGTGTTCTTAGCTGTTCATAGATGTGTGGGTTTATTTCTGGGCTCTTGATTCTGTCCCATTGACCTATGTGTCTGTTTTTGAGGACACACTTGATTTTGATCCTCACCTGGCATCTTAAATCTATTTTCACTTGGTCCAGAATTCTGACATCAGAGAGATGTAACTGGCAGCAACTCTAACATTCAGATCCTTCCTAAGCGACGTCATGTTAAATGAAAGCACTCTTCCTTCTATTCAAACCCTGTTGTGCTGCTCTTCTAATTCTCTGAAAGACTTTCTAATTTCAGAGAAGCTGTTGGAGACTTTCCCACATCAGAAGCAGGAATTGGAGCTTGTGAACTCTGAGCCTCCGGCCTGAGGACACACCGTCTTTTCCAACTGAGAAGTCTCAGACACCACACAATACATCCACTTTTCCCCAATCACACTCACCTGTAGATCTCAACAGCTCTAAGCGAAAATATTGTTATTCGCCCACAGATACATACTTCAATGACATCAGAAAATGATTGGGAAAAAAAATCTATGGAAATTAGGACATTTTCTGAAGGGGGCTTCCAGCCTCCTGTATGCACAAAAGTAATCTGTCCATTTTTTTGGATTAAAGACTTGAATATAAGACCTGAAACCATGAAACTTCTACAAGAAAACATAGGAAGTATGCTCTTCGATATCAGTCTTAGCAATATATTTTCAAGCACCATGTCTGACCGGGCAAGAGAAACAATAGAAAAAATAAACAAATGGGGCTACATCAAACTAAAATCTTCTGCACAGCAAAGGAAACCATCAACAAAATGAAAAGACAACCTAACAATTGGGAGAAGATATTTGCAAACCATGTATCTAATAAGGGGTTATTCTCCAAAATATACAAAGAACACATACAGCCCAACAACAAAAAAACTAACAACCCAATTGAAAAATAGGCAAAAGACCTGAACAGACATTTCTCCAAAGAAGATATACAGATGGCCAACAGGCACGTGAAAAGATGTTCAACGTCATTAACTATCAGGGAAATGCAAATCAAAACTACAATGAGATATCAACTCATGCCCATCAGAATGGCTATAATTAACAAGACAAGAAACAACAAGTGTTGGAGAGGATGTGGAGAGAAGGGAACTCTCATACACTGCTAGTGGGAGTGCAAACTGGTGCAGCCACTATGGAGAACAGTATGGAGATTCCTCAAAAAATTAAGGATAGAACTACAATACAATCCAGCTATTCCACTGCTGGGTATTTATCCAAAGAACATGAAAACATGAATACGGAAAGATACATGCACCCCTATGTTCGTTGCAGCATTATTCACAATAGTCAAGACTTGGAAGCAACCTAAGTGCCCATCAAGGGACGAATGGATGAAGAAGATGTTGCATATATACACAACGGAATACTACTCAGCCATAAGAAACGATGAAATCCAGTCATTTGTGACAACGTGGATAGACATTGAGGGTATTATGCTAAGCGAAATAAGTCAGAGGGAGAAGTTCAAATACCGTATGATCTCACTCATAAGTAGAAGATAAAAACAACAACAAACAAACACATAGAGACAGAGATTGGATTGGTGGTTACCAGAGGGGAAGGGGGGCAGGGAGGAGGGCAAAAGGGATGATTAGGCACGTGTGTGGTGATGGATTGTAATTAGTATTTGGGTGGTAATATGATGATGTAATCTATGCAGAAATAGAAGTATAATGACGTACACATGAAATTTATGCAATGTTATAAACCAATGTTACCTCAATAAAAAAAATTAATTTGTCCATTTTTTATTGCGATACAGTCCACCCTGAATTATAGTTATTTGTATACAAGTGTTTTCAATTCCTTATTAACTCCTGAGAGAAAAGAATCACCTTCCATTCATCCCTGTTCCCTAGGATGTAGTATATTCCCTGCAACACAGATGATAGTCAATAAATGTACCAAATAAAGGAGAAAAGGGAGCAATAAGATTACAATTCTTCATCAGTCTATAATGTTTCATTTGCATGTGAGGTTCTTAGATGAAAATACAAAATTTCCAGATGAAAAAGTCTTAGTGTTGCTTTTTACATTGACATGTCCATTAAAATTTTAATTATTCTTAAATAATGTTCTAGGAAAACACAGAGGACACTCCATAAGAATGATTCTTTCCTCTACAGAGGTGGAAATGGGGCAGCCTTTATTATCCCACAGTTATTATCCCAACAACATGGGCTCAGAAAGTGAAAAAGTTCCTACAATTCTCTGCTCTTCAAACACACTCTCATAGCAATTGAGCTTCTGTGAAGAACTTTCTTGGTAGAGAGAGAACATTGAGTCATAACCTATTTCAGAGCGAGAACCAGGCCCTCTATTTCTTTATGTTCTGGTGCTGAGCTCTCTGTGTAGAGGGTATTCAGTACACTGTTGCTCTTAGGGTTACCCACAGGGTTGCAGTGAGTGGGTTGGGGAGGGCTGTCAGGAGGAGGGTAATGGCAATGACAGCTTCCATTTCTCAAGCCCCCATGACAGGCTGTGAATGTTAAAAATATTGTTTCCAATTGTCATAAGGAACATAGTACACAAACAGGGCCAAGGGGATTATAAATGTGGCTATATTCACACTCAGAGACTGATCTGGGACACAGAATAAGCCCATGTGATCCCAAGGCATCTGTTATTTCCTCTCCAGCACATTTCTTTTTCTGAGATGACACTAGAGAAAGTGTGCCCCATATTGGGCTGAAAGGGAGAAAGTGAGAAGAACAAGAGTTTCAAGTATGCAGACATTTCCACAGGATCCCAAAGCGACATTTGGTGTTAAATATAAAATGTTTTCCTTGGTCATCATCACACAAGGTAAGCCTCCAATTTTTATCTATATAGACGCTGAGGCATAAAGAAGTTGAAGCACCTGCCACAATGTCAACTCTGAAATTCTTCTCTCTGGTGTTCTGCTAAAGGATTACACTCCTGGAATCTAGCCAGATAAATTAAAGTTTGACTCTTTGTGTAAAAAAAATTACAAAAAAAAAATTATTTTTAATTCTAGCAAACAGGGCTTTATTAGTCACTTCCTCAAAGGAGAGGACCACACAGATGGATGAAAAAACGACAAGTGCTAAACTTCTTGAAGTAAATGTGACTCATTTCACATTTGGTATGTTTCTGTTCTTCTTTTTGGGTTTTCTGGCCATATGTAAAATATCAGTTGGTGCTACCTACCAGAGAATTCAGAGTAAACGGCTGATCCATGTTGTCCTGTCTACAAAATGAAGATGTTCACTGCTTCTTCTCAATCACTTCATCTGTTTCAAAGATAAAAAGCAGAACTAATGTTATTTTTTGAGAACTCGAGTCTCAAAACCCAAACCCCAGTGTTATTTCTACCTTAGAAGAATATGAACAAATTGAAATAACTTATGTAATCTGAGTTTTTAGAGACACTGTTGGAAGTCTCTTCCTGAAAATACAAAACTGCAGGTGGTTATGGCTTCTTGAAGCAGACCTTTCAAGTGGAAGTGTGAAAAGAATTAATTATAGCCTAGCACTCAGGATGAGTCTGCTGGGTGTTATCTTACTTAGAACTCTATGCCAGGTTATAAAGTGGGTTTACTTTTATCGAAGGGAGAAAGATCATAGAGGTTAGGAGCATGGACTTAGAGACCTGGAATCAGTCTGAGCTTACACTAAGGCCTACTAGCTGTGGTAGGCAGAATTCTAAAATGGCTCTGTGATTCCTGTCCCTTGGTTTCCACGGGTTTGTGAAATCCCCTCCCCTTGAGTGTGGAGGAGACATGTAACTGGCTTCTAATCAACAGAACATAGCAAAGGTGATGGCATATTACTCTCATGTTTATGTTATGTCATATGGCAAGAATGAAGAGATTTTGGAGACATATTAAGACTTGTAATCAGTTGACATTAAATTTAAAAAATGGAGATTATCCCACGTGAGCCTGACCTAAGCAGGTGAGACCTTTCAAAGAGGGAGACACTCTCCTGCTGGCCTTCAAGACTCAGTCACTGTGAGGTCCACAGCTACAGGGAATTGAATTCTGCCAATAATCACGTGTGCTCGGAAGAGGACCCTGTGCCTCAGATGAGACTCTTACCCTGGTCAACACCTCCGTTGCTGCCTCGTGAGACCCTGAGCAGAGGACCTAGTTATGCTGCACCCAGAGCCCTGATCTGCAAAACTGTGAGAAAATAAATGTACATTGTCTTAAGCCATGAAGCTTGTGGTGATTTGTAATGCAGCAACAGAAAACTAACATGCTAGCTGTGTGACTGCTGGTAAGTTATATAGTCTTTCTGTGCATCTGAAAAATGGGGGAAATAATAGTACCTATGTCATGTAGTTGTGGTAAGGATTAAATGAGTTAGCATATAAAGTGCTTAGAATAGTTCCTAGCACATAGTCGATATCATATAAATGTTAGCTATTATTAGAATCTTTACTTTGCAGTTGAGGAAACTGAGGCTTAGAGATGTTAAGTGAATGTACTCAAGTCCAAATAGTCACTCAATAAATGTTAGCCTCTTTCCTTTTTATGCTAGTTGAGGTCAAGCTCTGCATCACTACTTCCCACTTCTTCTAAATTTATTTCGGCCTTTATACTCTACTAATCACTTATGTGATGTTGGACACCTATCTTCTTAGTTTCTTATTTATGAAATGAGAGAGTTAAGCTACATTCTTTCAAGTTATAACATTCTGTGATTCCAGAAATCTCAGCAGTAGATCTTTCAACCCTTCTGTGCTGTTTTCTGGCCTGAATCCATGGCTGAGATCCCCTTCAAGGAAAGTCACTTGGCGTGTTCTAGTATTTTCCTTTCATCCTCTCCGGTGATCCCTGGAGTAAACACTGACATCTAAGCTTGCAGGTTGCAGAAATGCCCAAGAAAGCAATGACTTTGAGAGAGCCACAGTCACAGTGTAGTTCAAAACCTAAATTAATTCTGGAGCTGCTGAAGGTAGGCAATCCCATTTGGGGAATTACCACTTCTCAGTGAGAAGAAATAAACCAGAAAATAAAAAGACATTAAAAGAGTCAAAGAGACAGAACAAAGAGGGTTATGGGGAATTTGAGGCAGGAGGGAGAGAAGGGGAACAAGGAAATACTAGTTAGTCATTGATTAGGGTATCTTAGAGGCCTAGAATTATTTTTTTAGGGGTTACTCAGATCCTTAAAAAGAGAACAAATAACTTAAAAAGTTGGAAATATTAGAACATTGGTTCTTAAATTTTAGTGTACCTGATAATCACAGAAACCTGACACTTGTTTAAAATGCAGATTCCTAGAACTCATTCACAAGGATTCTGAATCCATCAGTTTTAAGCCCACCAATAGGTATTAATTGTTAGGATGTGGCCCAGGTGATTTTGATACATGAGAGACACTGCATTTGAGAATGTCTGAGGCAGGATTCGTAGTTGCAAGCAAAGGCACCAACTCTTGAATTCATAGGATAATGGAAACACCACATATTTCTGGGTAGGCCAGAGAAATTGGATTTGGATGCTACATAGCCGGGATCATCACTCCAATCACACAGCAGCACTATTCTGACAGGCAGAGGAGCCTGCATCTTCCACCACTAACCAGCTGCTGCCCTGGAAACCATGTGGAGCTACCACATATTTCTTCATGTCACTAGTTTCTGTTTCAAAGTATAAGCTGGTGGTGTCTGACTGGCAGAGCCTAGGTCACATGCCTGCAGCCTGGCCCCAAAGGTGGCTGAAAAATGCAAGTAAATATCTAGCACTTTACAACTCCATAGGAGGCAGTGGGATGTGTCAAGTGAGAAAAGGTAGATTCAGGGCTGGGTGGCCAAAAACAATGACAAGTGCACAAAAATCAAACAAACTTCTCTGTAATGAGCTTATAAATGTATAAAATGTTTAATTCAACATATCTTAAACTCCAGAATTTATTAAACTGCTATAGATGAAAAACAATCACTATTAACTCCTGCAAGTAAATTTATTTATAATCCAGAAGGAAAAACCAACTCCCCTCAAATATAAGATGAAAGAAGCTTATAGATTGGTTGATCAACTTATTTTTTGGACCATTAACTACTCAGCAGCAGTGGTCCTGAGATAAAGATAATTCCTTTATTTGTTAATCCCCAGTCCTAGCACTTATCAGCTGTGATACAAACAATTACTGAAGTCAAAATAAACAGGTTATGTTTTCTAGATCAGTGGCTGTCAAAGTGTGGTCCAGGGTCCCCAAGATCCTTTTAAGGGGTCTGCGAGGTCAATATTATTTTCATAATATTATTAAAATATTATTTGCTTTTTTACCATCCATCTTTCAAAACTGTAGAGTGGGGATTTCCAGAGGGTGCAAGTTAATGGAATGCTTACTTGCATATTTTTGTAAATGTCTGTTTTAATTTTTAATATGGTAAATTTAAATAAATATAACCCACATAAACAAAGCTTTTTATGTCCTTAGTAATTTTTAAGAGTGCTAAGGGGTCCTCAGACCAAAAAATTTGAAAAGCACAGCTCTAGATCAACTCTGCAAACAAACAAAACAACACAGAAACTCACTCAAACTAACCAGAAATATCATGGGCCATGTCAAGCATTACCTTCCATTTGTGCTACTAGAGTCTTGCTAAAATAATTAGTAAACTGAAGAAACAGTGAGAGGTACCCTACCTCACAGAACCTGAGCCCCACAAGAGCAAATGCAGCAGAATGCAATATTTATGCAATACTCATTCTCTTTTTCTGATATAAAAATAGAATTTTCATTTGCAGACGACATGACTTTATATACAGAAAACCCTAAAGAATCCATTGGAAAACTGTTAGAAATAATCAACAACTACAGCAAAGTAGCAGGGTACGAAATCAATCTACAAAAATCAGTTGCATTTCTGTATGCCAATAATGAACTAACAGAAAGAGAGCTCAAAATGATAACACCATTTACAATTGCATCAAAAAGAATAAAATATCTAGGAATAAATCTTACCAAGGAAGTGAAAGACCTATACAATGAAAACTACAAGACATTATTGAAAGAAATCGATGACAACATAAAGAAATGGAAAGACATCCCATGCACATGGATTGGAAGAATAAACATAGTTCAAATGTCTATACTACCTAAAGCAATCTACAGATTCAACACAATCCCAATCAGAATCCCAATGACATTCTTCACAGAAAGAGAAAAAGAATACTAAAATTCATATGGGGCAAGACCCCGAATAGCTGAAGCAACCCTAAGAAAAAAGAACAAAGCAGGAGGCATCACAATCCGTGACTTCAAAACATACTACAAAGCAATAGTAATCAAAACAGCATGGTACTGGTACAAAAACAGACACACAGATCAATGGAACAGAATTGAAAGCCCAGAAATAAAACCACACATATACGGACAGCTAATTTTCGACAAAGGAGCTAAGGACATACAATGGAGAAAGGAAAGTCTCTTCAATAAATGGTGTTGGGAAGACTAGACAGCCACATGCAAAAGAATGAAAGTGGACCATCTGCTATCGCCATTCACAAAAATTAACTCAAAATGGATCAAAGACCTGAAGGTGAGACCTGAAACTATAAAACTCATAGAAGAAAATATAGGCAACACACTATTTGACATTGGTCATAAAGGAATATTTTCGGATGCCATGCCTAGTCAGACTAAGGAAACTAAAGAAAAAATAAACAAGTGGGACTTCATCAGATTAAAGAGCTTCTACAAGACAAACGAAACCAGGATCAAAATGAATAGACAACCCACCAGCTGGGAGAAAATATTTGCAAAACATATATCTGACAAGGGGTTAATCTCCATAATATATAAAGAACTCACACAACCGAACAACAAAAAAACTAACAACCCGATCAAAAAATGGGCAGAGGAAATGAACAGACACTTGTCCAAAGAAGATATACAGATGGCCAATAGGCATATGAAAAGATGTTCAACATCAGTAATCATCAGGGAAATGCAAATCAAAACAATACTAAGATATCACTTCATGCCCGTTAGAATGGCTATAATCACCAAGGCAAAAAACAACAAATGTTGGAGAGGATGTGGAGAAACGGGAACCCTCATACACAGCTGGTGGGAATGCAAACTGGTGCAGCCTCTATGGAGAACGGTATGGAGATTCCTCAAAAAGTTAAAAATAGAAATACCCTATGATCCAGCTGTCCCACTACTGGGAATCTATCCAACAAACCTGAAATCAACAATCCAAAGAGGCTTGTGCACTCCTATGTTCACTGCAGCATTATTCACTGTAGCCAAGAAGTGGAAGCAACCCAAGT